AGGAAGAAATGGAGGGAAAATGAATGCAGTAGGAGGAGAGGAGACAGAACAAGGGTCAGGGTGATGCCCCTTTGAGCCCCTCCTGGAGCCAACACACCTTTGCACCCCTCCCCCCAGCGCTCACCCTCGGCTCTGGGATCCCAGCATGTCTGGCTCAGAGCCTCTGCAGGTGTCAGGTCCCATCACACTAGTGGGGGGAGGCTGGCCAGCTCCCACCAGCTTCCCACCACGTCCTCAAACTTAAGACTCTGATGTGGGGTTGAAGTCCTACAGCTTCCTCCCCTTCAACGAGGCCTATCTTCTGCTGATTCCAGGAAGGCCAGTCCCTCCGGGAACCCGGCCGGCCCTCTGGGTGCACCAGGTCCTGGCATCTTCCTCCGTTCATAGGCAGCAGTTGAGAGAGATCCCCCCCCCCCCCGACACCTGCTTCTTCTTCGTCCGGGTGGCCCTGCTCTTGGCTGAGAAGCTCTCTGTAGTCCCCACTTCCTGCACGACCCAGCCTGGTCCCAGGGCCGCAGCTGGCACTTCCTAGGGCTGCCTGGGCCCCAGGCTGCCACGCGCAGTGTCTGACCCCAGCCTTGGCCGGAGTGAAGTGATGGGCCCTCAGAAGCACACCGCCCTGCTGCAGACCCACAGCTCCTGGGGCGGTGCCCACGGCTACAGGGTCTTCACCGCCTGATCCCTGTTCCCAGCTCCCCTCCTGGGTCTGAGTGTCCCTGCATCCAGGCTGACTTCATGGCATTTACACAATTTACTTCACTGCTTCCAGTCCTCTGTTCTGATCCAAACGGCACCCCAACTACTTCCTTCTTCTCCTGGCCTTTCCTTCGGTCATCACTGCTCACTGGCCTGATATCCCCCCTCTGTCCTTTAGAATCAGAGCGTCAAATGGGCATCTAGCAGTCATCAAAGGGCTCTAGGTGTGGCCTGGTACTTAAAACCCAGTGAAAGCCCAGGTTTTGAAACAGCAATCCCGAAGTCCATGGGGGAGAGGGAGGGCCCGGTTTACCGACTGTCGCTGTTTGGAAGTGCGGGGCCAGGAAGACGGGCGTGAAGCAGAGGAAGGCGGCCAGGCAGGTGGCGTCCCTGCCGCTGCGCTTGCAGTCCCTGTGGAAGATGTTGATCTTGGGCGGCTCGAAGTGGAGGCTGGCGTTGAGCTGAACCACGGGGCGGGACCTGGAGGAGAAGGGCGGGCAGCTGCTGTGACCTGGGGGCAGGCGGAGAGCAGATGGGAGGGGAAACGCAAAACCATCGCTGGAGGGTGAGGCAGTGTGTGGGATGGTGGGCAGCGAGGACCCTAGTTGTTGAAGAATTGGGCAAAACTGGCACAGGTGACGAGGGGCGGCTCAGTGACCTCCTTGCTCCTTGAGGCGGCCCTTCATTGTTTTCCTTACTGCAGACCATACTGACTTCCTTCGGCCTCCTCCTCACTTTGAGAGCAGTGGTTTCTAACCCCGGATGAACATTAGAATAATGTGGAGAGCTTGAAAAATCCTGGTGCCCACGTTGCACTCAGAATCGGCATCGCCATGTCTTAAAGCAGTGCTTCTATATTTCAACACACTGGCACGTCCCTCGGGGACCTGGGAAAATGCAGATCTGATCTTATAGGAGGGCACAGATGCCGCACTTCTAGCAAGTTCTAGGGATTGCTGCTGCTGTTGGCCCCCGGACCAGACCTTGAAGGGCTTGGTGTGAAAGCTCCCAGGTGAGGCCCGTGTGCAGCCACAGGAGGGACCCGCTCCGTGTACTAGAGACTCCACACCCATCCACCCCATACTACCCGTCCAGGCAGCCAAGGAAATGAAACTTACTCTTCTGTTGGCCTACGTCAATCCTATTCAGGGAAGGAAATGCCTTTCCAAACCGTGCATGGAGATGAAAAGACGTTAAGTGTGGAGTGATTTAGATGCTTCAGAGTTTCCGCGTGATGTCTGTGCTAACACTCTGCTCTTTTTAGCATAAGGGGGTGCTTGTTCTCTGCTGTGGGGTGAAGAGGGTGGATTTGAGTCTTGGCTCTGTTGGTTCCTCCCGGGACCTTGGGCAGGTCACGTGACCTCTCCCATGGGAATTGTAAGTATCAAGGCGGGTAAGTGAGACAGTGTGGTGTGTGGACATAATAGCTTATCTCAGTGGTTCTCAAACTCAGCTTTCCCTTGGAAACAAACACTGGGGAGTCTTTAAAAACGACTGGCTGGGCAAAGCCTGGGTAGTGAGAGTTTTAAAAGCTCCCCAGGTGATGCTAACAGGCAGGCAGTCCCATGTGAGATCCGTGGGACCAAAAGTCTCCCCAGCGGGCTCTGCCCACGAGTCCCTTCGTGTGGACCTCGGAAGCTAGAGCTTGGTCCAGTTCTTTCTGTGGGTGTGTGTATGCACCCTCTATGTTTCCTGTAAAGGACTTACTTAGTTATGTGTCACCCTAAGGACCCGCGAGGCCACATCTACTGATACACCTGACCCTGGGTCTTGATCACCTGTCTTGCTTCCTCACTGGAACCAACACAGTGAATACCTTTACGGTCCGAGCTGCCACCTCCGATGGCAGAGCCCCCACGTTGGAGCAGACCGTCACAGGGAGCCGGGCTGCGTGCCAGTGCACGGGCTGCCCCCACAGAGACCCTGCCTCCTGTGCCGCCTAGCGGGCCGGGGACACCACCTGGGGTGTGGGCAGTGGAAGCTTGGCCGTGGTCAGCGGGGCCATGAGGAGCCCGCAGGTGCCCTCACATCGGGGACGGAAGCCCTCCCCACCCAAAGCATTAACGCATCAGCTTCAGCTGTTTTCTAGAAAAGCTGGGCTCACACATTGCCCCATGGGATGTAATATTCTTGCGGCCCAAGAGCATGTCCGCTCCTCCTTTATTGCCGTGTGAAGTCACACCATGGCCTGTTTGATGCCTTTTGTAAGTTGTATGAAAAATGTGGTTGCATTTATAGACCATTATATGCTGGCTGAAAAAAGTTCAAAAGAGACAGGCCAAAATGCTAACAGTGATAATGTTAAGGTGATGAAACTGAGCGATTTCTTTACTTTACAAAATTTCCTTGAGTTATCATATTTATGATGAAAAATATCTCATATATAAAAAAATGTTCAAATTAAAAAATATTTTTTCAGCTCAAAAAGTAGCCATCATATGGCAAAATATACAGGCTTTCAGAAAGATTTTTTTTTTAATCTTTAAATTCTTTATTAGTTAAGGAATTAGAAATGTGTCCTCATCCCAAGATTTTTTTTTAAAGCTGTAGACTACTGCTAAGGAGAGACCCTGTGTGCAGACAGATGGCAAATGTCTAGTGCAGCGGTTCTCAACCTGTGGGTTGCGACCCCTTTGGCGGTCGAACGACCCTTTCACAGGGGTCGCCTAAGACCATCCTGCACATCAGATATTTACATGATGATTCATAACAGTAGCAACATTACAGTTATGAAGTAGCAACGAAAACAATTTTATGGTTGGGTCATAACATGAGGAACTGTATTTAAAGGGCCAGAAGGTTGAGAACCACTGGTCTAGTGGGTTGGTGCAGGAATTAGGCCCTGGGAAAGGAGACAAGTAGTCCGAAGGGCTTTGGGGGAAAGCGATCTCTGTATTACATACACTCTTCACACCAGTGGAGAAGGGAGACCTGTTCCTTTAAGTATCTTGAAAGGCTGGAGTCACAGAAATGCCTAAGTAGCCAGAACTTTTAGGATACATTCTAAGGGGCACTTTTTGACACTAAGTGCTCAACAGTCTTAGAAGCCCATTGATAAGAGGGATTGGAACTTAGTCGTTCCATACAAAGATTTGTAACCACGGGGTAGGAACAGGGTGAGTCGGCTGACACTGATTAAAGAAAGGGACTCAGGTCCCAAAGCACATCTTTTAAACCCTTATCCAGCATGACTCTCAGGGCAGCCAAGAGTCAAGAAAAGCGAAGGAACCAACCACAAAATCACAGCGTTGCCCAGGGCGCCCACCGCCAGGTCCACGAGCCCATCCTCGTTGAGGTCCAATTGCCCGTGGAGGCTGCAGCCGAAATACTGGAGGCCGGGAGCCAGCTCCGAGGCAGCGATTCTCTGGGGAGTGGGAAGAGAAAGCTGGGACGGGACCCTGTTGGACCAGGGTGGGCGGGGCCCCCACAGGGCAAATACAATGGGAACCCCCGAAGGAGCCTGTTTGAAACCATCACGCGTTTCTCCAGCCCACAGCTCTCTCCCCGCCTGGTCTGCGCTGGCCCCTGAAAGGCCTGCCTCCAGGTTGTGCCTTTGGACTAAAGTGTTGTGTCTGAAAAGAGCTCCCCATGCAGTGTTCGTCCATGTTACCCGGCAGGTAACCCGTTAGCATCTCCCACGTGGCATATTAGCCTGTCTTACTAATAACATTGAGCAAAGAACATGACCCTGCAGGGGCGGGACCTGCAATGGGTCGCTTTTGCGGAGAGCAGGGTGACCAGCCTGGAGCATCTGGAGAAGAGCGAGCCGGATGGGAGTTCTCTGGTGTGGTCAGGTGCGTGGACGCGTGTGGAAGGGGTGAGGTTCGGGTCCCGGGGACCCTGCTGTTGGTGAGATCGAGTTAAGCGGGGAGGGGTGCCCCTGGGGGTGATGTGGAAGTCCCCGAAGAAAAATGTACCCATTCACAACTGGGACACAAGGGAAATAGAGGTAGGACATGGGATCCTTCCCTGGATGAGGACATAGGAGGTGACCCCGAGCCAATGGCTGAGCAAGAGCCGCTAGGACTCGAGGGCCCAGCTCCCGCAGCGGCGCTACCTGCTTGGGCGTCTTGAGGAGGCTGCCTCGGCACCCGTGGAAGATGTAGATGGCTCCTCCGTGGCTGTCCTCCAAAGGGGCTCCCACCACCACGTCGTTGTAGGAGTCCTGATTGAGGTCGCGCACCCAGGCGATGGAGGCCCCGAATCGGGCGTTCTGGTAGCTGTGGGAATCCTTCAGTGTCCCGTTGTAAACAAAGCGGTTCTGGAAAAGCAGGGGCAGGAAAAGGCTCAGGGGGACTTGGCAGGGCCCTCGGGCCACGATCCCCTCTGGCTCGCAGCAGCCTCTCTCCCCCGTCTCCCCAGCATCCCTCCTCTGGCTACAGACGCCCAGCGACAGAGGAGCTTCCTGGC